TTATTATTTAAGCCTTTTAATTATTAGACATCCAGTATGTTTCCCATTTTTCACTGTTTTTCATGAACAATCATGATGCTAAACTTTTATGCACAACCCTTCTTATAAGGGTTGATGTGAATATAGGGCTTTTTTTTTTAATGGAAATTTTAATGAGTATGTGGAGCACCTCCACATACTCATCACTCATTTTCAACTACATAAACACATGGCCTACCCAATCCTGATTATTTTGAAGAAAATCCCAATTATTTCATTTCTTCATAAGTACTTAAATATATTATTTCTAAAAGATAGATTCTCCAAAAAATCAGCACTTAGATTAAGTCCTTTCATGTTATAATTACAATGATCTCCAAAAATGTACTGTTTATGTTCCAAGTACTATATAAAAGTCCCTGTTGTGCCTCGGCTTCTCCAAAACTATTTTGTTTTGTTTTAATCTTTATTCATTTCAATCTTTAAAAGTTGTTTGTTTTAATTTGCATCCTTTTGATTAAAGATGTGGTTTAAATATTTTTCATTTGCTTATGATTTTTTGTGTGAAATACCTGTTCATATTTTTGATCATTTAAAAAAATCAAAAATTATTTTATCTTTGTATACTTTTTCCCTATGTTAAAAATCAATCCATTGTTTTAAAATGTAAAAGTATAAAGGAGGTTGCTTATATAATCTCATTTTATAGGCTATTTCAAAAGCAAAAACTTATTAATCACTTAAAATTATGCTGTGGCTGAGTTATACAATTGCAGGAGCTCTGATTATAATCCATCAGCAATATTTTGGGGGCACCTACAGTACTCTGAGGTGTAGGTTTCATTTCGTAGAGAAAAAAGGAATAGGTTCCTTAGTCTTTTTCTGTTGGAGCTCTCTAAACTAAGGGAATTAGATATGAGAAAAACTTACTCGTTTATTTTAGGGGGGTTCCAACTAGATGGAAGCAAATCTTCATGTAATTTTCAGATTTTTTTTTTTTTTTTTTTTTTTTTTGGTACATGCCATGATATGGACCTTTTGTGAATCAGCCACAGAAAAATTTTGAGTGGAAAGTATCATGGATTTAAAAGTCATTTTGAGTTGCATTTGCTTGAGTCAATCTTTCTGCCACCAGGGGTCAGTCCTGCATCAAGACCGTCTCCAGGAACGCCTACAAGCCCTGGCAACCTCTCCAGTGGCCTGAAAACACCTGCACCTGCCCCGACAGCATCTCACAACCCTCTGGCCAATATCCTCTCGAAAGTGGACATCACCCCGGAGAGCATTCTGTCTGCTCTTTCCAAAACCCAGACCCAGTCAGCCCCTGCCTTGCAAGGTAAGCTGATGGCCAGAGGGACTCGCACTGCGAGTGCTTGTCTCAGGCTTAAGCCTGGACTCCATTTCTGAGAAAAAAGAAAAGAATCCAAAGCCATCTATAATAATAGAAGCATAATATGCTAATTATGCCAGACGTCCTTCCAGATGACCTTCTGTACGAAGCTGAGTGCCGGAGGGAAGCCGGTGCCAGCAGCAGGGGGCAGGAAGGCCTACTCTTGCACAAATTTCGTGCATTGGGCCTCTAGTGAAATATATAATATAGTTGATTAATTATTCTCTTTATATTTATTATCTGTGAGCTGGCATTTGTAGTATTATAAAGTATCAAAGATGAAAGAGACTTTAAATATCATCTAGTCTAATCCCCTCCTTTTCAGGTAAGGAAATTAAGGCTCAGTGAGGTAATGTGACCTGCTTAAGGTCACACATCTACCTATTCAGTGATGATCCAAGACTAAAAGCCATATTTCTTGACTGGAGTCCGGTATTCTTTCACCTACACCATGACACCCCTAGGGGCTGCATTTATCCCAGCTCTTAGTACAGGTTAGTATATGTTGAGGTTTACATATTTTAATGTTAACGGAAGCTAAAGACAGAAAGGTCATTCTGCTATCAAATATCTTATGAGATATGTTTGTCTCATTTATGTCCTGTTTTATAGAGGCCTCTATTTATAGATATGTAGTGAGTCTTTTTGTTTTTGGTTACATATAATCTCTACCTTATTTGAACCTCTCTTCGGCTTTGCTAATTATCTGGGTTGGGCTTAAAACTGTTCGCTTCTAGTATTTTTTTCATAAACTTAACCTGCTGCCTGTTTCCAGACCCTCCAGCTACCAACACAAGTATCTCAGTATAATTATGCATTAATTACAGATACCAGAACAGTATCTTCCTAGTGATTTACTCTATATCACTAGATCTCAACCAGGAAGCTCCAGGGGATATTTGCCAGTGGCCTAAAGGCGTTGTCATAACTGGGCGGGGGGTGGGGTGGGGGAGGGGGTGCTGCTGCACCTAATGCATGAAGGCCAGGTAGCAGCTGAACATTCTACAGTGCACAGGACAGCCCCACAATAAAGAATTCTCCAGCCCCAGGTGCCAGTAGTACTGAGGTTGAGGAACTCTGCTTTATATGAATAGAGAACATTACAGGTATCTACTAATTTTATTTCCTAATTGTTCTGTAAGTGGATCAGCCAAGCACTATATTATAGTGAACTTTGTCTTAAGATATAGGACAATTTTATTACATTGAACTAAATACGATTTTTAAAATTGATTTTTAGAGAGAGGTAGGTTGAAAGGGAGGGAGGAAGGGAGAGAGAAAGAGACAGAAACATCGATGTGAGAGAAAAATGTCAATCAATGCTTTCCACATGTGCCCAGAATGAGGATCAAACCCGCAACCTGGGCATGTGCCAGGTTGATGGGGAACCAAACCCGCCACCTTTTGGTCTAAGGGACAATGTTCTAATCAACTGAGCCATACCAGCCAGAGCTGAACTAAGTAGAACTAAATGATAATTCATATCCCCATTCATAGACCAGCAATAAAGAATTAATGATAATACTATAGCACATCTTACACTACTAATTTCAGAGATAATTAGTTTTAGAGATTAGCATCATGTTTATGATTCTCCCTTCTGGCCTATAATTAATAGTAAAAATCTTGAACTCACTTGTTTTAGCTTTTTTTTAGCTTCTTGGATAGATATATCTTAAAGAAAAAGCTTTTCTTTTTTTTAATACTTCAAGTTTGTATTACAGCAGTATACCAAATTCAGTAACAGTTCTTGTTAGTTGGCCAAAGTAGCAGATGGTTCCCCAGTCTCGGTGGCTTAACACAATACAAGTTTCTATCTTGCTAACATTCCATACATCTGATGCACCTGTTCTCCATCTGGGAGCGCTCGTTGATGCCACCCCTCCAGGCAGTGATTCAGAGACCCAGGCTCTGCATCTTGTGACTTTTCCATCTTCAGTATGTAGCTGCCCTGGGAATGGGCTCCATGCCAGCCAGACAGCCAGGACCGAGGAGGGGGAGCTGTGCAGGGAGAGAGGTGTATGAGCTAGGCCTGCGGGTGGGGAGCTCCACCCTCACCCCGTGGCTCACATTCAGTTTTACAGCCAGGTCTCACTGCAAAGGAGGTGGGGGGTGTAATTTAGCTCTGCAACCGTGATCTAGGCCAGGTTCTCCTGCTGTTTCACCCTCCGAGGTCCAGGGGCTGCAAACCAGCTCTCTGAGAAACGGAAATGGCAGTGGCGGAGGGATGCTGTGCTTTCCTGGTCTTCAGTCTCCCGGCCTCTGTCCCATCGCGGTTTGCTCTCTTGTACCAGAGGGGTGAGGTCCTCGTCTCCAACTGTTGCTTGTGGGAGTGGAATTCTCATGATATCCTGAAATCCTGAAAAGAAGAATTTTATGAGACTCGCATAGGGGAATGAGTGATTTTTTTATTTGCATGGAATTAATTCCTTGAATTTCAAGGTCCCATTTCCTCAGTCCAGTCATAGAAGAGTAGCTGGGGGTTCAGCCGAGCTAAAATCAGAGCCAGTGTCCAGAGTTTCCTTCCACGTTAGAGCTGAGCCCAGTCCTGCATCAGGCCAGCTCAGCCGTGTTTCCTTCTGCAGCCCGTCAGTCCATTGCATGTGGAGTCTGCATGGCTGTATGGGCAAATGCAAGAGAACCAAGAGGAACAATAATAGCTTTTGTCTGCCCCCACACCCCCGCCCCGGAAATTGTTGCAACAAGATCATGTGGGCTTTCTCATCAGGCAAAATCTGAGCAGAACTAGGTGTGTTCTGACAAAATGAGAAGTGGGAATCCCAGAAAACAACACTTGTGGAGTAACAGGGCAGTTCATCACCTTCCCTTTCTTTAGAGAAAGTGGGATTCTCCTTACGACAGCTGTGCCCAGCAGCTTAAATAGATGTGTTTCTTCAAAGACTATAAAGAAAATCTCTTAGAACTTTGCTCTGATTATGTCACTCATAGCCCGTATTGGCAGGTTTTCAACACAAAAGAATGACTTCAGTGGGCAAAGGACTGTAGAGCAAGCCTGTCAGACTCCTGCGAGATTGACATGCTTGCTGTAGAGCAGCGGTTCTCAACCTGTGGGTCGCGACCCCTTTGGGGGTCAAACGACCCTTTTACAGGGGTCGCCTAAGACCATCAGAAAACACATATAGAATTACATATTGTTTTTGTGATTAATCACTGCTTTAATTATGTTCAATTTGTAACAATGAAATTGGGGGTCACCACAACATGAGGAACTGTATTAAAGGGTCGTGGCATTAGGAAGGTTGAGAACCACTGCTGTAGAGTAGGGCTTGTTAAGATGGAAGAAAAGTGCCCTGGCCAGTGTGCTCAGTGGTTAGAGCATCAGATTGCACACCCAAGGGTGTCAGGTTCAAGGGTGTCAGGTTCGATTTTGGTCAAGGGCACGTAATTGGGTCATCCATTCGTTCCCTGCCCCAGATCAGGGCACATTTGGGAGGCAACCAATCGATGTGTCTCCCTCACATCAATATTTCTCTCTCTCTCCCCCACTCCCTCCTTCCACTCTCTGAAAAGCAATGGAAAAAATATCCTCAGGTGAGTATTAAGAAAAAAAGATTGAAGAAAAGTAATATTTAGTGGCACAAAACTGTTTCATCTATTGCCAGAAATCTGAATAGTATCTTTTTTTTTTTATTTCTTGTTTTTTTGTGTGGTTGTTTTGTTTTGTATTTTGTTAATTCTCACCCAAGGGCATTTTTCAGGTTCTAATCCTAGTCCCAGTCAGGGTATGTGTGGGAGATAACCAATCAGTGTGTCTCTCTCTCATTGATGTCTCTCTCTCTCTCTCTCTCTCTCTCTCTCTCTCTCTCTCCCACCCCCCTCTCTCTCTCTCTCTCTCTCTCTCCCCCTTCTTTCCCTCCCACTCTCTCTAAAAAATCAATGGGGGGGAGGGCTAGGGGCATCAATGGGAGAAATAAGGGGACATATGTAATACTTTCAACAATAAAGAATTTTTAAAGAATTTAAAAAATCAATGGAGAAAATGTCCTCAGGTGAGGATTAATTTAAAAATTCTTCAGACCTTAAATCTCTTAGCAAATATGGATTAAAATTAAAATTTTGAAGAAACATTAATTGAAGTATTTCATGAACTATTTTCTTTCACCATATCATTATGAAGGAGCTCTTTTAGTGTCTAACTAAAAGCTATAAGCTTGGGTTGGAGTACATACAAGTTTTCATTTATGACTAGAAAGTGGGTACATTTTTCAAAACATGATTTTAATGTATAAGACTTGTTATCTTTTTGTTGTGTTTTTCTAAAAAAATTTCTACTGGAGCAATTTGCTTTGATGGACTTCAGCCTTTGCCCAAAAAATTCTATTTCATGGCTTCTGAGAAGGTTTTGTCTATCATTAAGGAGGGTTGAATCTTACCACTGTCAACAATAATTATTCCTTGAGTTTTCCCCTCTATAAGGTGGTGATTGTGTGTTTTCTTGTGAAAGATCAGAGCCTTTGATGATCTAGCTTTGTGTTTGTGGTGTATGTTTATATGTTTATTATTGCTACATTTTACAACCAAAAATGATAGCTTAGAGCAGTGATCGCCAACCGGTGGTCCAAGGACCACTGGTGGTCCATGAGGTCTGAAAGGTTGGGGACTGCTGGCTTAGAGCATTGTGTCCCCAAAAAGATAGCAAAAGATGCTTCTTTTTAAAGTGCCCTGGTTCAAATATATTTCTGCAGTTTGCATATCTTATCTCTCTCTTGAGAATAAAAAGTATATTAACTTACTAGAGATAATTATGGAGGTTGGAAATGAAGGATAGAATATCTATTTAGATAGTGATGGCCAAAGGGAAGGGGCACAGGCTGGGTGGAGGTGGGCAAAAGAGGGGGAAATGGGGACATCAGTAATAGTGTCAACAGTAAAAATAAATTATATAAAAAAAGAATATCTATTTAGAGAAACAGTTTCACAAATCAAACATTAAGAAATACTGACTTGCCCTAGTCAGTGTTTCTCAGTGGTTAGAGTGCCGGCCCAAGCACAGAAGAGTCATGGGTTTGATTCTGATCAAGTGCACGTACCTGGGTTGCAGGTTCGATTCCCAGGCCCCAGTCTGGATGTGTGCAGGAGGCAGTCAATCAGTTTGTCTCTCTCACATTGTTGTTTCTCCCCCTCCCTCCCTCCCTCCCTTCCTCCCTTCCCCTCCCTCTCCCCCTCCTTCCTTCCCAATCACTCTCTCTAAAAATCAATTGGAAAAATATCCTCGGGTGAGGATTAACAAAAAAAGAAAAAGAAAGAAATACTGGCTTAAAGTGTTATTTTAAGAATGATTTTGCTTTCTTTCTTTTCCTGCTTTGTCTTGTTTAAACTATGAATGATTCTGACACTAAAATCTACCCCTTCCTGTGGCCTTTCATTGTGCTATGTTGGGCTTGTTTCATGACTGCACTAGAAACATCTCAGCGATTTGCTCTCTTTATATTGGCAAGTAAGTCCAGTGTTTTCTGTGACATTTAGCAGAAATGCTTGTTTAGTCAGGATTTCCTTTGGCCTCACATTTTAATGTCCATCTGGTTCCCACTGGAGTGAATGAGAATATCCAACTGGCCTAAACTGTTTATTGTAAGGCAGGGAGTTGTTCTTTTTAACTCCTCTAATCTCTGCTTCTACAGGCCTGTCGTCTTTACTTCAGAGCGTTACTGGGAACCCAGCTCCAGCCAGTGAAACTGCATCCCAGAGCACTTCAGCTTCCCCTGCCAACACCACTACAGTCTCTAACATAAAAGGAAGAAATCTACCCTCCAATACCCAATCCTTTATTCCCAAAAGCTTCAACTATTCTCCTAATTCATCGACATCTGAAGTCTCTTCAACTTCAGTCAGCAAGGCCTCACTTGGGCAAAGCCCAGGGCTTCCAAGCACTACGTTCAAGCTGCCGGGCACCTCTCTGGGGTTCACAGGCACCCACAATACCAGCCCTGCTGCCCCACCTCCTGAAGTTGCCATGTGCCAATCTTCAGAGAGCTCCAAGCCAAAGCTGGAGTCCGAGTCCACCTCCCCAAGCCTGGAAATGAAAATCCATAACTTCTTAAAAGGTAATCCTGGTTTCAGTGGCTTAAACTTAAACATCCCAATCCTGAGCAGTTTGGGGTCCAGTGCCCCAGCAGAAAGCCATCCCTCAGACTTCCAGCGTGGCCCTACTAGCACTTCAGTTGACAACATTGATGGAACCCCTGTGCGGGATGAACGCAGTGGGACGCCCACCCAGGATGAGATGATGGACAAGCCCACATCCAGCAGTGTAGACACCATGTCCTTGCTTTCTAAGATCATTAGCCCTGGTTCTTCAACACCCAGCAGTACAAGATCACCACCCCCCGGGCGAGAGGAAAGCTACCCCAGGGAGCTCTCCAATTCTGTGCCTACATTTCGACCCTTTGGCCTGGCCAGTGAATCATCCTATAAGCAGTCTTCTGATGGAATGGAGAGGCCATCTTCCCTGATGGACTCTTCACAGGAGAAGTTCTATCCCGATACTTCTTTCCAGGAAGACGAGGATTACCGAGATTTTGAGTATTCAGGGCCTCCACCCTCTGCCATGATGAACCTAGAGAAGAAACCAGCCAAGTCTATCCTGAAATCCAGCAAGCTCTCTGAGAACACCGACTACCAGCCAATCCTGTCCAGTTACAGCCACAGGGCCCAAGAATTTGGGGTAAAGTCTGCCTTCCCTCCATCTGTAAGGGCCCTCCTGGACTCTAGTGAGAACTGTGACCTTCTCTCACCTTCCCCTGGGCTGTTTGGTGCCTTCAGCATAAGAGGGAATGAATCTGGGTCTAACCGGTCACCGTCACCGAGTAAGAATGATTCATTTTTCACCCCTGACTCCAACCACAATAGCTTGTCTCAATCTACCACTGGGCATCTCACTTTGCCACAGAAGCAGTACCCAGACTCTCCTCACCCAGTCCCACATCGTTCCCTTTTCTCTCCGCAGAATACCCTTGCTGCTCCCACGGGCCATCCACCCACATCAGGCGTGGAGAAAGTCCTGGCCTCCACCATTTCCACCACGTCGACGATTGAGTTTAAGAATATGCTTAAAAACGCCTCACGAAAGCCCTCAGATGATAAGCATTTTGTCCAGGCCCCCAGCAAGGGCACTTCAAATGAAGGTGTCAGTCTCTCAAACCTCACCCAGCCCAGCTTGACCACCACTGAGCAGCAGCAGCAAGAAGAGCACTACCACCGCATAGAAACCCGAGTCTCCTCCTCCTGCTTAGACTTACCTGACAGCACTGAAGAAAAGGGGGCCCCTATAGAAACCTTGGGCTACCACAATGCATCCAACAGGAGGGTGTCCGGGGAGCCCATACAGACCGTAGAGTCCGTCCGAGTTCCTGGGAAGGGAAACAGAGGACATGGGCGTGAGGCTTCAAGGGTGGGTTGGTTTGATCTGAGCGCCTCAGGCAGCTCTTTTGACAATGGCCCCTCAAGTGCCTCTGAGTTGGCATCCCTTGGGGGTGGGGGCAGCGGAGGCCTCACTGGCTTTAAAGCAGCACCATACAAGGAACGGGCACCCCAATTTCAGGAAAGTGTCGGCAGCTTTCGTTCCAACAGTTTCAACTCAACATTTGAGCATCATCTTCCCCCATCCCCCTTGGAACATGGGACACCCTTCCAAAGAGAGGCAGTGGGGCCGTCATCTGCCCCGCCCGCCCCTCCTAAGGATCGTGGTGGTGTCTTCTCTCGAGAAGCACCCGCTCATCTGCCCTCTGTGGATCTTTCGAACCCCTTCACAAAGGAGGCCGCCTTGGCCCATGCTGCCCCGCCCCCCACTCCTGGAGAGCACAGCGGAGTTCCTTTCCCCACCCCACCCCCTCCAGCCCCTGGGGAGCATAGCAGCAGTGGTGGGAGTGGTGTCCCCTTTTCTACTCCACCCCCACCTCCCCCTGTTGACCACTCTGGGGTTGTACCCTTCCCAGCCCCACCACTGGCAGAGCACGGAGTGGCAGGAGCAGTGGCAGTATTTCCCAAGGACCATAGTTCTCTCCTTCAAGGGACCTTGGCTGATCATTTTGGGGTGCTCCCTGGACCCAGGGACCACGGGGGCCCCACCCAACGGGACCTCAACGGCCCTGGCCTTAGCCGTGTACGTGAGAGCCTGAGCCTACCCTCCCATTCTCTGGAGCACCTGGGCCCAGCCCATGGAGGAGGTGGGGGAGGCAGCAACGGCAGCGGCGGCCTCCCCTTGGGCCCCTCCCACAGAGACATCGTCAGCCGGAGTGGTATGGTTTTGCGGAACCCCCGGCCAGACTTTCGGCCTAGGGAACCTTTTCTCGGCAGAGACCCGTTCCACAGTTTAAAGAGACCCAGGCCACCTTTTGTTAGGGGCCCTCCGTTCTTTGCACCAAAACGCCCATTCTTCCCTCCCAGGTACTGATGGAGACCAAGGGAAAGGCATTTTGAACAGTCGAGAGAGCATTGGAAGTAGGAGTTTGGTTTATTGTTTGTTTTTCCTCCTTTGATTTATTTTTCTATGACCAAGGGCCTCCCTTCCAAAGTAAAAAGTCGTACATATATGCTTACATTTCACTATTCCATCCAGTCCTCCCTCCCACGGCACTTACCTACCTACCTTCCCCGAGTTGTTTGAATTTTAGGGGGTGGAGGGGAGCAGGCAAAGGAACACAACCAAAGCCGCTTCCTTTGGCTGGGAGTTTGAGGGACGGGAAGAAAAACAAATCTGCTATTACCCCATCTATTGAAGAGTATTACTGCGTTTGAAATAAAACTTCCACCAGAACAGATAATAATGTGCAATGTTGGGATGTTATTTTGGGTTTGGCTTATCAGTAGTCAATGGAAGGGTTCCTGCCCCCTTCTCTCTGCAGCTACCCTAACTGCTGTAACCAGGGGCTCCTTCCTTGTGGCTCTGTGCCCTGCTGACAGCCGGGAGATGTTGCAAGGGAGGAAATGTGGGAGAGCTCAGCGCTGTCATTGCTGTTCTGCTTTGTTTGTTTCGAAAGGCGGGTGGAAGTTGAGCTCTTTACCTTTCTCCTCAAATCTTAATTTAACAACCACACAAAAGGCAGCCTTTCCATAGCACTGTCAGGCCGTACCTGAGGAGTGCTCTTCTGTCCTAGTAAACGTTTTTCCTCTTTGTTTTTGGAATGGAACAGAGCAGGCTTTTGAGGTTAAAATACGGAGTAACTACAATAGAGAGTTAGAGAAGGGGACTATTAACAGTGTGATGTGACCTGCCCATCCTTCATAAACGAGAGAGTGGAAACCGTTTTTGAGATAGTTCCGCTCCTCTGACACCCAGCTCTTCCTGCTTTTCTTGCTTGGCTTTCTCAGCTTCGCTCTGCTGTGGCCAGAAAGTCGCTCCAGTTGACAGTGGTTACAGGGGTGGGACTGTGCTATCGTCCCTGTGTTTTTTTCATGTAAGAAGTAGACATTTTTTACCCTGGTGCCTCCCTAACGTAAGTGATACTTGTTGGCATATTTCAGCAAAGGTTAACTACCAGGGAGAGGGGATTGTCTTTATCTTTCCTTTCCCCTTGCCGTGCTCCTGTATTCACCCCATTCTTGGTATTTATTTCAAAGAAGGTTCAACAGCATCATTCTTTATATTACACCTCTTCAGATGTGTCCTAGTAACAAGTGAGCATTACTAGACATATTTTTACAGAGGAAACTGGAGGACATGGAAATCCAAATTTACCCCACTCCACAGTAGCTGCCCATCACATATCAAGGCTCCAGCCTTATCCTCACTTCCCACTCCCAGTAGGAAATAAAGGATGTTTCTGCTCTTAGTCATTTCACACAGAAAGTTCTCCCTGAACTGAAAGGCTTCTTATTTGTGTTTCTACAGAGTACTGGGGGATAGACAATCACAGCACTTTGTGTGTTTCTAACTTTATATTTTAGGGACATTGAAAAGCAAATGTTGCGTTACTATTTGTTATTTAGTGTCTTATCCTAAGGTACACACACGGGTAAACTCCAGCTAGATGAGTAAAACAATATGAGTGTTTTAGAGAATCCTAGTAAATTTCCTATTTTCTTCCAGGTTAGTATAGAACTACAGGAAGTGGGATTGCTTTGGATTCCTGCAGTGAAACCTCAAAGGTGGGGGAGAAGACAATGTAGTGACAGAACGTGATGCTTTGTCTCAAAATAAACTTGCTTTTCAGATAAAGAACAGCTTAAGCCAGGTGTGTCATAGTTTGGGGGTTCTCTGTAAGTTATTCCATGTTATTTATTTGGGCTCGCTATGTGTCCTGTGGTTAGGGTGCTGCAAGTCATTCATCTCCCTAATGCATTTCTGGTCCCAGGCCAACTAACTGTTCTTTCTTCCTTTGACCCTCTCAAGCCTCTCTGCCCTGTGGCTCTCCCACACCAAAAATGCATGGTATCATGACCTTGTGTGTGGGATGGGGTATATAGTGTAGCCAAGCAAAGAAACAGTATAGTTACATTGAGTCCTCAGACATTTGTTTAGGAAAATGTATAAGTAGGGCAGTGAGGGTGGGGAGGGGGAGTTCTATTTGACTCAACTGAAATAGAATTTTTTTTTTTTTTGGCAGAAATTAAGGGGGATGTTTTTCATTCTAGAATAAAAGAATGTGAATTCTTTCTGCTGCTCTTGTTTAAGCTAAAAGTAGTGTTTACTTGAAAAGGCTCTCTGACCATTTGGTTTTATAAGAAAATATGGAGATGTCAGGACAGTGGCCTCCTGAATGTGGGGGCAGAGAAATTGTCCTCAGAAGTGTGATGGCTAAGACATGAAAGGAAGACCGTGTACAGTTTTAAAGATGGACTTTTAAGGGCTGGCTTTCTTTTGTGGGCTGTTTTGTTTTTAAGCCACAAAATCCTCCAAGCGCTTGTTTAGGATGGAAGTGAGGATTTGTGTGACTTTGAGTTGTTCACTTTAAGGAACTCTTGTCTACAGCAGTAAATGAAGACGACAATGTACATATGTGATATAGTGAAACAAAAGACAATTCTGGTATTCATAACATGAAACAAAGGGGTTTTATTCTTTCTGTGTCTGTGATTTAAAACTCCGTGCCCATGCTCTGACTTTTGTATTTCAACCTGAGTTTAAAAAAATAAACAAGATATTTTTTAAAGAAAGCATAACATAGTGTGTCTTGGAAAGGACATGATTCACAGGAAAGCAGACTATGCGAAGTTGTTACTAAGGTCTTTGGTGCTCACTGTAAAAATCACAGACAGAGAATTAGTGGGGATTGTGAATACACTGGTACCACCTAAAACTCTGATACAGCGTCAGAAATGAGAGTCCTTAAGTAGTTTGTAAGTTTACTCTTCAGTGAGCTTAGAGGGAAGCTCTCCCTGCTTCTGCCCGCCCAGATGTTGAGAGTAAGTAGAATTCGGTTTGATTCCAGGGAGGGTAAAATGATCAGAGAGTAGGACTTTTATCCTTTCCAAGCCCAGAGATACAATGTTTGTGATATATATGGTACAGCAAACCTATCTAGATAATGTGAATATGCTAGACTTCCTAATTGCAGAATATTCACTATTTCCTGAAATTACTGGTTCATGCAGAATTAAGCTTCAGCTGTTATTGTTTTGAAGCCGCTGTAAATTACTGCTTTCCCCCCTTTTTCCTCCCCTCCCCTTTTTTGAATGGGCGGGGGTGCCTGTTAAAATTAGAGATGTTCTATGATATTCTCACGTGTTCAGTGTGGAAAACAAAACAAGTACATGCTTTAGAGGCAACATGGAAACCCTTTTGAAATGTGTATTATCACTTAATAAAATAACTAGTTCTCGAGGTTTGACACTTTTCTTTGAGATTTGGGGCTTCAACCAAGGGCCTCTGGCTTCTCTGGTGAGTGCAGAGAGTAGGAAACTTCTCCAGGAGCTGAAGGAGCTGCTTTGTGGCGAAGGCCGGTCCTTGGAATATCTACATTTTCTCCAGCAAAGGCCCTACATGACTGTCCAGGGCTGAAGGTGAAACCAACTACAGAATGCTAAAAGAAAAGCCTGGATACCTCTCTGAAGATATGATTGGATTGGCTTTGGTCTAAGTGTGTGGGGAAAGGATGGTTGGTGTGCCTGCACCCTTCGGAGGCTCACACAGATACCGCAGACCACCCGTCTCGTCCCTTCCTGTGACCATGTGCACCTTCCTCTTCCAGCCATTCCTTTCTTTTTTTAAGTCTGTTTGTCTCCAATATTACGTTTTTGTTTTCCAGTTTAATAAAGTATGGCTTCCTTTGTGGTGTGGTTGGCTCTTCCCCTCTCACATTGATCTTGTCCACCTGTCCTTTGACTTCTGCACTTGGTGTCTCTGAAGGCAATCTGAATCTCTCAAACTCATGGCCGTGTGGGTTTTGTTTGATCCTTTGTGTAATTCAGTTTTGGAAAGGGATTATGGGTGGGATGAGATCAAAGATGTTCAGGGAGTGATACCGCAGGCTGGTGGTGACCTGGGCTATACTGTGTGGATAATTATTTGTGTATGTCTCCAACAAGTACAATTGTGAGTAAAAAAGCATTTGTAAAGCAAGCTTAGGATTTGGAGAGAGGACGGGTCCTCAGGCCATCTCTGTACCCACATCTACCCTTTTTTGCTGCATATTAGCAATCTGTCCTCCAGAAACCACACAACCCTTCTTTCTTGCCCCATCCCTTTTCCGTAACCCACAGAGGCTTAAAGAATGGAATGTGGGCTCTTGGGTAGAGAGAGTCACGGGCAGGCATCTAGATCAGGCCGGGGTCACTGGCAGGATAGAGGCTCTAAATAGCAGCCTTGCTTATGTGAAGCTAGACACGTCACCAGAAATTCAGAAACAGCAGCGGCCTGGGAGCACACCCAGAGGTAGGGTGCACCGCTGAACTGACTGCCGCTGGAATCTGGCTCACCCTTTCTTCCTTGTCGCCTCGGGACCTTGACTGCCCACCTGATTCTTGTCTCCACCCTCATGGAAGCAATAGCTTTTAGACTTTCTCATTGGCTTTTCTGGGCATGTTGGAAATGGATCCTTCCCCCAAAATTGTTTTTAGGCCAGTCTGGTATAGGAGGGATGAGTTACTCCCCCATGTATGTAGATACAGTAACACAAACACCATCCGAATGGATTTAGGGTACTGGGGTGTTTCTCATACTTGTTTATGAGTAACTGTATAGACAAGTCCGGTCAGCTGCTGCTCACAATTGCTGAGTAATAACTCACTGAGGCTGCCTAGACAAAGCTGCTAAAGGGGCGTGAGTGAGACATGGGCTCCTAAGTAAACATCCTGTTCTCCCCCCCACGTAGAAGAAGAAAATGCATGCGTCAGGTTAAAAGAGCAAGTCAAGTGCAGTGTAAACCATCAAATTCTGACTGCTGGGGGAGAACAGGAGGAACTCCTGTGTTTATGCGTTTGAGAGGAAGGGGATAAGGCTGAGATCTATGTAGAAATTGACACTGCAGTTACCTATGGCTCCTTTATTTTTTCCTTTCCCTTCGTGCTCACGGTGGCCAGAGTCAAAAGTGGCGAATACAGATGTGGGTGGAAGGGCTGGTGAGCAGTGCCAACAGCGAAGACAAATCCAGGCCCCAGCTTTTTGTGTTTGACTCAAAGGGGTGTTGGCTAAACCAGTCCACCCTGGATCTGTTGGGGTTTTTAGCAAATTCAGTGTTCCAGAACGTCCTTATTTTTCTTATTACTTCCTTATGTGTTTTTTAAATCTCACCAACGGATGTTTATTGATTTGAGGGAGGGAGAGAGCGAGCGAAACATTGATGTGAGAGAAAAACAGATTGGTTGCCTCCCATACCCGCCCTGACCAGGGATCGAACCCACAACCTAGGTATGTTCCCTGCCCGGAAATCAAACCCAAAATCTTTTGGTGCACCTGGCAAGGGCTCCCTCCCCCCTTTTATTTTAATATGTTTTTATTGACTTTTTAGAGAGGAATAGAGAGAGACAAACATCAATGAGAGAGGAACATCATTGATTGGCTGCGTCCTGCACGGCCCCCACTGGGGGATCAAACCCGCAACTGAAATACGTGCCCTTGACCGGATTTGAACCTGGGACCCTTTCAGTCCGCAGGCCGATGCTCTACCCACTGAGCCAAATTGTTTAGGGCAAGGGCTCCCCTTACTTTTGAGAATTACTTTTCTGTGTAATTTGTGAAAAAGAGATGAGGACTTGAGACCTCTCACATTTTTCTTGGGGTAACGCAGTTGAAATGCCTGGAGAGACAGGAGATGGGTGACACCCTGTGCCTCAGTTTTGCCCTCCCCTGGCTAGGAATTCTTTGCACCTACACGGGACAGTTCAAGCCCCATATCTCCTAGGCAGCCAGGCATTGCCAAAGGCAACAGAGACTAGTAAAGGATGGACTTGAAATCTTGGTAACTGGGGACTGGGCCTTACTTGCCTTCTGTAGATGTGCCTTCTCTAGGACCTTCTTTTGGAGTGCTTTGATCTTTCCTTTGTTTTTACGTCAGCATCGAACCTCAGTTGACGTCCCTGCACTGGTTCCTGTGTTTGGGAGACTTCTCTGTTTTTCCTTTGGAGGGTCGTTCAAGAGGCGGCGGGTAGAAGTGGCTGTTTCCTTGTTTCTCTTCTATAGACTCAGGAGATGTCTTGGGGGAGGGAACTAGAGAATTTAGGTGCACCCAAGGCTTTGTTTTCAAAGCCAAGTTTAACTTATTTCCATGCTCCTAATAGGAAGCTTTCCCCCCTTTATTTACTCAGCAAATTTGGTTGAACTTTTTCTCTCTTCATGGCATCTTAAAGCGATGTTACAGTAAAAAGCTTGGCCCCATCCTAGATCTTTATTACTAAGGGAAAAAGCGTTTTAATAAACCAAAACTCCCCATACCACCTGCTGTACCTTTAGACCAGCCGTGGGCAAACTACGGCCGAGGGCCGTATTCGGCCTGTTTGAAATGAATAAAACTAAAAAAAGAAAAAAAGACTGTACCCTTTTATGTCATGATGTTTACTTTGAATTTATATTAGTTCACACAAACACTCCATCCATGCTTTTGTTCTGGCCCTCCGGTCCAGTTTAAGAACCCATTGTGGCCCTTGAGTCAAAAAGTTTGCCCACCCCTGCTTTAGATACTTGGCTAATTGGGTGAGCCTCAAAAGCATTTGGTGGCAATGATATAAACCTTTATATATTTTATCTTCTTAAATTTATCTTTTTTACCTCCAATATCTTTTCTGTCTCTTTGATGCAGGGAATTTTTGCTTCTAAGAGCTAAGATAGGTTTGGAAGTATGTGTTCATCTGATGATAAGTGGGAAATGTTCTTTACCTTCAGTGGAGAGCATTCTTATATATAAGATTATAACAACAATACGCTTTAGCTCACTTTAAGATGTCTATTTTAAAAGTGAAGTAAAACTGAGAATCTCCCAAAACTTGATTAAGTGTCTAGGATACCCTTAACTGAGGATTCCCTTTTCCCTAGACTTCTGTGAAATCTGGCATTATTTCTTGAACACTTCTTTTTCCTTATCTTTAGTCTGCTAGAAAAAATTGTCTTGGCTTTTTATTGGACTCCTCTCTCCAACCTATATATTAAAGCCTTTGGGGCCCCAAACGCTCCAAGTAGGGTACCTGGAGAGCAAGCGGAGCCGTGCTCCCAAACATGATGCATTCTGACTCGACTCTTCTGGTGTCTAAGAGGCAGCAGAAGATGGCATAGTTTAAAGGCTTTGGATTCAGAGATTGGGACTTCTCTGAGGGTAAATTTCCATGTTATAAAGGGAGCATAAGAAGAGCTACTACTTGTCAGGGTTTTTTCTAGGAATTAAGATAGTGAAGACAAGCACTGGGCACATAGTAGGTGTTCAGTGATACTCTGTATGGAAATAAGAGCAATTTTAGGGATGCTTCCCAGGCAGGCTAACTGGTTAAAATTCCCTGAGGCTGAGACAGAGTAGGCACAATTCAGAAATGGTAGCAGAACCGGCGATGAACGAATTGGCCTTAGCTAGCTTGCTTTTGCTGGCTGGCTTGCTACAGAAGGAGAAATTGAATAACTTGAAATTCCTTCCTTCATTGCAGCACAGGTTACATAGGCGATGATGTAGTTGTTGATTGATCAGCATCCCACACACAGCTCAGTGCATTGCATGTAGTGAGTAGCCAGTAAATGTTTGAGGGATGAGTATAGGAAGCTGCCATAATAATGGAGCTTACTTATTCCACCATCTCTCTATTCTCCACACTCAAAGAGGACAAGGTAGAATGATTTAAAAATGTGTGTCAGTATATGTATCCTTTGGCGTTTCAACTCAATACAATGATTGGTACATTCTTAATAATTTATTGAGCACCTGCAATGTAACACTCCTGTCTTTTTTGGTGCAGACCTATGGAAAGAATTCTCTCTTTTCACACTTTGTGAATGCCACTTAAAAATCCTCACTTACCTTTTCACACACACACACTCACACACGTGATATCCCTTTTCCACAGTCTTATTTCTTTTTATATTTCAGGGTGTCTAATATGTAAGAAGATGGAGCCAAGATCTAGAATGGTGCCTGTGACTCAGATCAACTGCTGTCTTTCCCAGACAGAACCTCTGGCCTCCGGAAACCTAGATTAAACAGCATTTTCTGACAGCTCTTCCTCCTCAGTCCTTGATTCCATCACCACTGGAAACTTGAGCACCAACTCTAACCACCCCCACCCCCAGGTGAGGGCACTAATGGGAATCACTGAGAACCTCATAGCTGGCTCCAAGTCCACTTTCCCTCTCACTTGACTAAAATCTGACTGAGATTTTGTTTTTACTGTGTAAGAAAATAAATATAGCTAGTCCTGTATCCTAGATACAGTATGGAAAGAGAAAAGAAGGATAAAGGAAGTTGAAAGCCAGAATGGGGATGAGAGGCAAAGGCCTTGCGTAGGAAGCAGAGAGCCAAGATTCTGGGTCAATCACCTCTTTCTGAAGTGAACACTATTACCAGGAGAAAAGCACAAGACTTGGATTAAATCCAGAATTAGCACTTAAACTGTTTGGCTTTAAATCACTACCTTCTCTGACTTTACTAGTAAATTTCTCATCTATAAGCTTTAGAGGTCTCCTAGGTCCCTCTTAAGCACCATGAGTCTAAAGGGACTCCAAGAAGTGCCCTCTGCAGATGCTCTGCTCCAGTTCTTTATTTTTAAAAATTATATATATATAATTTTTTTACTTCAAAATAAGATATGTGCAATATGCATAGGAATTTGTTCATAGTTTTTTCTTAAACTATAGTCCGGCCC